GAAGAAGCTTTCAACTTTAGGAGATGTATTATAGAGGCATTCAACCATGGAATTTTATTTTTCCGGACTGGAACTTTACTCTCCAACTTATAAAAATTTGTCAAAATGCGATTTGGATTTGACAGAGAAATACCCTCATTCCAGTTAGTATTCTCAATCTCAGCATGAAACATGGGTAACTTTGATTTTGGAATCCTTTTAATGAAATTATGCACATGACCTGTAGGTTTCTTAAACATCAGTTTCTGTAAGTTGTGTTTTTGGTAAAAAAAAAAAAATGAATTTGTGTTATTAAGTAGTACCTTCATATAGTTTTTTTTCTTTCTAAATCTGTTGTTTTAGATGTATGAATCGGATGGCTCAATCATGGTGTACTGGCATGCACTGGATACTCCAGAAACACCTACAGGTAAACTTAAGCGCTGTGGATTTGCTCCACATTTGCACTCACTCAGAGAAGGACTTTTCTCTTTCATTAGCAACATACATCTGAATTGATGAAATAATCCAGTTGATGCAGGACAAGAAGTTCTAATGGTTTGGAAGGTGACTGATGAAAATAGAGTTGTTCACAAGTGTATATTCTTGTTACTGACAAGATTTTAGTAATAGCATTTGAGAAAAGTTAAAACAAGTCTGTACTGCCTTTTTGGCAGCTTACAAAAAGCCAGAGTTTTTTAACCCTCTGGAAAAAATAAAAAACGTTGTCCGCCTGTGCTGAACATTTTGTTTTATGATATGTTCAGACACAGCTAGAAAGTAGTTTACATCTGATTGTGTGTTTAAGCATTGTTGTTTGTGTGTAAAATGTGTCATTCTGACAGAGCCGATTTCTGTCCCAGCACAGGCAGTGTTTGCTCGTGGAATATGTGCCGTATCTGAGAATTATATATGCGTGGGTAAGTACTGAGTTACACATATTTGAGAATGTATTGGGCAAAACTGTACAGGGTACGCAACTCTTTTCACAGGTGTTTCATCAGGTGCGATTCTAGTGTTTGATGTCCCCAGTAAAGGGAGTAACATTACCCTGTCTGAGGAACTGGAGGAACACAAAGAGTCCATCACTGATATGGCTTCAGAAACTTCTGGTAGTCAGGTATGATTTGTGCTCTGTAACCCTAGGTTAATACAGTAGTGGTAAAATGTTTTCATAAATATTAAATCATCTAAAGGAATTATTACTTTATGAAATGCCTCCAAGACAGTTCGACAAATTACACAACCGTTTTCTTGTAACTTTTGGTGTCTCCGTTCTTTCAGGAGTGCATAGCTAACCTGGTCTCTGCAGATGACGAGGGAAACCTGTGTGTGTGGAAGTCCGGGGAGGAATTTCAACTTCTCAACAAGATCCCTGGTTTTGAGTAAGTAGTTGATGTGTTTTATAATGTTTGCATAAAAACTAAAAGAACAAATCATGTGGATCAAAGACACTTCACTTGTCGATAAGTTTTATCGTATTAAGCTTTTGTCCTAGTCTCATTTTTTCTTCATTTTATCGGTTAGAATTTTTTCATCATCTCAACGATTTTTTTTTTCCCGATATACTTTAGTTTTAGTTGTTTTATTTGCTTCCCTGATTAAATAACCACAATTTATTTCTCTCTTTTTCCGGACGTGTTCCTTATCTCCACCAGCATGAGCTGCACATCTGCCAAGTTGTGGAAAGGTATCGTGGTCGCAGGTTATGGCTCAGGTCAGATCCGTCTCTTTGAGGCTGTGACTGGAATTCTGCACGCTGAGATCAGCGCTCATGCTCGCTGGATATACTCACTGGACATTGCTCCTTTTTCTGGACTGGTGAGTCACATAAGTCAAAACAAGGAGACCCGTGTTCACTCACCTAATGTAGTTTATTATGGTCTTTTTTATATTTTCATTTTAAGTGACAAAAATGATCATTTTACAAATATTCTAACTGTAAGAGTTTGTAGGTCCTTTGAAAAATTCCAAATTCACAAATAATTAAAATCTAAACTAACTCCAGAATTTCCCATTAAAGTAATCTAATCTCAACCAATGGAAGTTATATAATTTCTATAGTTATTTTGGTTTGTGTTGCAGCATATACTGCAGAGACAATGAACTGATTCGCAAATTCTCAAAGAGAGTGACAGAACATTAGCGTGTGACTTGAATCTAAAGAAAAATGGGGGTCATACAGGAAGACAATATCCCTCGTCAAAACATAAAAAAAACAAAGTTTAAGATGAGTACATTTCATGTTTTGGAAAGATGAAGTCCTATTCCTGATTTTAATCAAATGAAAACATTGTACAACAAAACATGATAAAAGGTTTATAAGTTTTAGTAGCATCACCTTACAGTTTGTTAGTGGCCATGGAGCCCTTTTTTAAGTACATTTTAAGATGTTTTTTGTGCTTTCTGGAAACAAACAGAATGATATGATCAGCTTTGCTGGAAATTTGCCCATTATGAAATATCAAGATAACAAAAGACAGAGCCAGCAGAGAGTGACAAAATGCAATGCTTGTTGCTTACATGTGTTTTAAGATTTTATCGAATTAAAACCTGACCAAGATCGTTTTTTTTATCATTTTTAGGGGGGTGGGGGTTGTCATTTTAGTCTATTGAGGTTTTCCGCAGTAAACAACAAATCTAAAATACAGTGGTTTGCAAAAGTATTCATACCCCTTGAACTTTTCCATATTTTGTCACATTACAACCACAAACATAATATTTCACTGGAATTTAATGTGAAAGACCAACACAAAGTGGTATACAATTGTGAAGTGGAAGCAAAATTTTACATGAATC